GGAACCGGGCGACAATATGACGGTGCAGCAGCCATCGGGAATGGAGGCGATTGTGGGGGCCATCGACTGTGCCTGGGCCATTGGACCCTATTTGGATGCCGGCGGCGAGGACGAGGTGATGCCCCAGGACATCCAGCTGGAGGTGTCGCTGCAGGTCAACCTGCCCACGCCGGCTCCGGCAGCAGGATCCGAGGAATCCCCCTGTCAGCACCACTTCCTCAATGTAAGTTTGCCTTTTCTTTCACATGCTTCTTAACTACCTAACTACAGTTAAAAAGGTCCAGGTTCAAATCCCACTGCTAACCGAATAAGCTTTTTTGTGCTATTAGTATTAAGGGTAATATAGTATTTTAATATATAACTTTTTATATTACATCAGTTTAAAAATATGAAATAATAATTATAAATATTATTTTGATATTTGATCAAATTTATATAAAAAACAAAATTACATAGAATTGCAGATCATCAAATAAATATATATATTCTTTTCTCATACAAATTCCTATTATATCAGATTGTTATGTTCGAAAATGACGTATTGACTATGATAGGAAAATTAGATGTAAAATCATAAAACTGATGTAATTTATTTTCTAATATAAGTTACTATCATATCAGATTGTTATTTTCGAAAATGACGTAATAATTGTGATATGTAAAATCCTTAAACTGATGCAAATTCTTTTCTAATATAAATGCCTGTTGAATAAGATTTGTATATTCAAAAAATACGTCTTTATTATAATATGTAAAATCATCAAATTCATGTAAATTCTTTTCTTATATACATTTCTATTCAATCAGCTTGATATTTTTGAATAAAAAACATATTATTTGGTTAGGATATAGTCAAAAATGCTGTGTAGAATCATAAAACTGTTGCTGGCCATAACCCAAAATGATGTAAATTCATAAAACTGATGTAAATTCCTATCCTGTGCAGGTGTACAATGGACCCGACCAGAGCTCGCCATCGCTGGGAGTGTTTTGCAACCAGGCGAGCGCTGTGAATATAGTGGTGGAGCGCGGTCTGTTCCTGGAGTACCACGCGGATAGCTTCTCGCCCAACGCCACCTTCAACGTGTCCATCAAGTACGGATCGGGATGCGGCGGCAAGCTGACCTATCCGTATCGGCCCATCGATTTCAGTGAGCAGTACAAGAACAATGTGGAGTGCATTTGGGAGGTGGAGGCCACGGCGGGCTATCACATTGGACTCACCTTCCATGGTCGCTTCTACATCGAGGACAGCGCGGGCTGCACCAAGGACTATCTTCTCGTACAGCAGCGTAATGACTCCACTGGCAATTGGACCGATCTGCAGCGCATTTGCGGTCGTGCTCCGCCGGATATGATCAACACCACATCGCCGTACCTACGCCTGATCTTCCGTTCCGACGACCAAATGGTGGGCGATGGTTTCCTGGCCAAATTCCAGCGCAATTGCGGTGGCCTGCTGTTCGCCAACGACGATGATGACGAGGGGCAGCAGCTGACCAGTCCGGGCTACCCGGCGGGCTATGAGAAGAACTTGCAATGCAATTGGACCATTGTGCCCAGAAATCCTTCGACGGGTGGTGTACTGATCACCTTCGAGCAATTCGATTTGGAACAGGCACCCATTTCGGTTTGCCTATTTGACAATCTAACCATTACCACCAAGGAAAAGGACAAGGAGCCCGTACAGACCACACTCTGTGGCGTGAAACATGGCCACACATACCGGGCCAAGGAATCGATCAACCTGCTCTTCCGCACGGACAGCAGTTTCTCGGGTCGCGGCTTCGTTCTGAACTACAGCAGTCGGCTTTGTGGTGGCCTGATTACCCAAACGACACAGATTCAATCGCCGCGTCAGCATACGGATAATAATGTGCCACCCGGCAGTGATTGCTATTGGAATTTAACGGCACCAGTGGGTCATAAGTTCACGGTCAAGTTCGAAATGCTTGACTTCGAGCCGCATACGAACTGCGACTATGATGGTGTGGAGCTGTATTCCGGACCCATTCCAGATGCCCGGCAAAGACGTGGTCGTTTCTGTGGTCACATCAACGAGGATCTGCCCGTGATTAGTATACCCGAGGAGCGGGGCATCATACACAGCTATTCGGATGATCGCGATCCGTCGCGGGGATTCAGCGCTTTGGTTCGAGTGATGCGAAACTGCGATGAGCAAATCACACTGAATGACAACACGCGTTATGTTTTCCGGAACTTCAGCAACCAGGCGGCGGGCTACGAGCACGATCTCGACTGTAATATCGTCTTTCGGGCGAGCTCGGATCGGCAGATCAGTTTGAATTTCCAGAGTTTCCATGTGGAGCAGTCGTTGAATTGCGCCAAGGATTTCGTGGAGCTGCGCGATGGGGCCGGACCCTTTGCCGACTTAATTGGCAAGTTCTGCGGTCAGGATCAGCCGCCGACGATGACCACCACCAGGCACACACTGTTCCTGCGCTTCCACACCGACGAGCGGATCAATGATTCCGGCTTCGAGCTCACCATCAACGCGGTGCCCCGGCAGTGCGGCAGTGCCAGCCACCAGTTGGCCGGCGACGGAGTCAAACAGGTCACCATTGAGACGCCGCCGGGATCGTCGGGCGGCATCCACGGCAACGGAGTGGCCTGCCACTGGCGCATCCTGGGCGATGTGCCACTGAGTGTGCAGTTCTTAAGCTTCGATCTCCATGGACCCGATGCCAACGGCAGCTGCGTGGATGAATACCTCAAGATCTACAACAGCGAGGTGAGTGTCCCTACGAAAATACATTACTTACATTGGCAAAAAAAAACACGTTATAAAACCAAATATTTGGTTCTCAACGCAAATATTTTTCACTGTTTTTTAGTTATTTTGAATATTAAATTTACAATTTTTTAAAATGTATTTTACTTTTATTGGAATTACTTTTAATATGTAAAAAATTTAATTTAATTCTCAATAGTGATTAAAAACCTATAATTCTAATGTCACAACTTTTCTTACAGGCATCCAATTTTGACATGTTATATCTGTTATAGCTTGTCTTTCAGTGCTCTAAAATAACAAATTTAAATCTTGCTTTAAAATTTTTGATAGATTTTTTTTTTTAATTTTTAATGACGTTAAAAAAAATTACTTTTCGAAAAAGCTATCAAAATCCTGGCTTTCTATTTTCTATTTTCTTTCTATTTCGAAGTGGTTTATCTGTTATAACTTTTGATTCAATTCTCTAAATATCTGCATTTTAATCATACTTTTAGCACTTTAAAATATTTAATAATTAACTAATTGTTGGTCGTTTTCTAAATTCGGTTAAATGATTTGACGAAAAAGTTACCTTCTTAACTCATTAACTTTACTTACTCAAATTCGATTTGAAAGTGAAACGCCTCTAATAGTTTATTGTTAAGTTTTAAACAATATTTTAATTTATGAATTAAGTGGAAATTTTTGGTATTTAATATTTATTTAATTTTTTTTTTATTATTAAAGAAATGATTTTTATTAATACCCATTGTAATACATTTTCCAGGACGCCGAACTGGTGGAGCAGGGCTTCGGCAGCGAGTTGGTCTTCAATGGCCAGACCTCCGGTCACGACTTCATCAACTACGCCACGGAGCACGTGTACTGCGGGAACGTGAAGCCGGACACGTACTATGCGAATGCCAACGAGGTGTATCTGAAGTTCTGGTCGAAGGGAATGGAGCGGCGGACCGGATTCCAGGTGCAGGTGTCACTGACCTCCAATGCCGAGCGCCACTACGAGGGACTGCAGGGCAGGGTGCGTCTGTCGCAGACCTCCAATTGCGACATCACCATCCGGGCACCGCCCAATCACACCCTGAGTCTGTACTACAACGAGCTCGTCTTCGGCACCTACGACTGCGAGGTGGAGAGCCTGGACGTCTTCGACAGCACCAATCGATCCCTGCAGCACGTGTGCTCCTTTGTGGATGTGGGCAAGAGCCTGTTCAGCTCGGCCAGCGAACTGCGGCTGCACATGAAGACGGGCTCGTTTCTGACCACCCTGGATCTCACCTATCTGGCCAGTCCCGCCGAAAAGGGTCCAGGCTGCGGCGGTGAGTTCTACAACACCCAGGGCGTCTTTGCCAACCCCTTCTACCCGGCCAATGTGCGCAACAACTCCGAGTGCCAGTGGAACATCCGAGTGCCCAGCAACAATATAGTACTGCTCAATTTTGAGGGTGAGTGTGGAGAAAAGTACCTACAACATATTTGTATTGTCGTATTATAGTGCACAATTGGTTTTTAAGAAAAGAATTAAACATAAAAAAGTATCCTCCTTTTACAAGATTTCACCCTAGTCTAGCCTTAAGGCTGGTTGTAAACGATGCAGCCGCTCCATCGTTTACAGACCTTGCCTGAAACAAGTGTCCTGATTTGAATGTTTTTCCCCTAACCTTTCAGTTTTCAACCTGGGCTCGAAGAGCACCTGCCACACGGACTATCTGCTGATCCTGGAGCGGAATGAGTCTGGGGAGGAGCTCGAGATGCGGCGCTTTTGTGGCGAGGACAACCCCAAGGTATACAAGAGCCAGCGCAGCCAAGTGATGGTCCGATTCCACAAGACGGTCAACTACGATGGCATCGGCTGGGTGATTCGATTCGCCGGGGTCTACTCCAACTACCAAATACCTAGATATTTATTGGGCGGCTAAATCCCCCAAGTCAATATTCAAAAGCCAGCCAAATAAACATAATTTTAAATATTTTTCAGGTCTAACAAGATTTTAATAGTCAAGGAAAATAAAGAATATAATAGTCAAAGAAAATAATTAGTTATTCTTTAACGCTTAAATGTTTTTATTTTCTTAAATAAAAATACTTTCTCCCGATTTTATATTAAGATGCAGCCAGACCTTATTTAACGAATGTTTTTCAGACCTTAAAAGCTTTTTATGTAACGATTTGTTAAAAATGTTGGTTCACAAAAAAAAATAAAAAATTCTGATTAATATTCTATTGAGTATTACAAAAATGATTTGGCTTAAAATTCATATCCTATAACAAGGTTATTTATTATTGAACTATTTAAAAATGTACAATTGTACTTAAAGGGATTTAGGCCTAATCATCATTTCCACAAAGGTAAGTGACATTTGGTAGTCGTAGCTATGAAAGGAGCCCCAATATATTCCATGCCTTTCTACGCTTTCTCTTTTACCATCACTAAAGAATTTGCCATTAAGGAAACTGTGAAAGAAATTGCTATAATTAAAGTAATAGTTTGATTTTATTTAATATTCATACCTATATGCACAACCAATGAACCACCAACCTCCACCGTGGTTTTTAGCGCAATTTAATTTGTTCTGATCATTGTCCCGGTCAGTTGTGCTGAACTTTATATTCTTATGGTTTTTTAATGAGTCTCCGGCCGTACCAGAATATTCGCCCAACGATTTAAGCTCATATGAATCAGCTTCGCTTCCAATTTTAAAATCATCGTATCGAGCGTAGCCACTGGATCCATCAACTTTTCCAAGATTGATGTAAAGCTCGTATGGTTGTGTCTTGGTCAGCAAGTACATTTTCTCCAGTCCGATGAAAAACTCGCCCTTAATGTCCCCAAATCCATTTTTATAGTCCGCCCAGGTTCGATTAAAGTCCTCGGATCCGTCAAAACGTCTCTGAATTACCGTCCATCCTGGGGCAGGCGAAACACATGGCACTTTAAAGGATTCCATGCCTCGAGGCTTTAGTTCGTAAATGCCATTGGAACCACCACTGGGACATGTTTCTGGTAAATTTTCCTTCCGATCGTATCTTTCTGATATCGTTTTCTTAATCGATTCAATATAAATCTTTAGATCCGAGATTTCATCTTTGATCTTCACTGTACTCTCGGAAATTTTCAAATTGACATCAGTTTTTCGGCATTCCGAAAGCTGATTAGATACTGCAGAAAGAGTTGTCTCAATCGAACTTATCTGATTCCTTAGGCTAGAGATTTGTTCATTTTTCACATTCAGAAGCTTTTCGTTCATTTCCAACTGACTCTGCAAATCCTTAATAGTTTTTTCCATAGTATTTATATTGCCCTTCAGTTCGTCGTTCTTATCACCTGATTGTTTTAGCTGTACAAAATGATCGAGAACGGGTTTAAAAATTGAAAAACAATACCCATTACATTCGCCTTTTTCGTTTGAATTTTCTTGTTGCAAATCCGCAACAGTAAAGGATAGCTCCTCCAAAATCAAAAACGTCAGAAAAAGCACAGAAAATAGGGCTTTCATTATGCTAAAACTGTTTTCTCGTCGACACTCAAACTAAACTGAATTTAAACAAAGAAAATTACGATTCATATATAGGTACAATTTTATAAGCTCTGCTTTAGTCGTTACGTATATTTTAAGATAAGATAAGGAATCGTTTTTTTTTAGAAAACGCAATTTATTATTATTTTATAATTATAGTTTTGTAAAAACACAGGCAGCCAGCCGGTCCAGCAAAAAAGTTTCTAGAACGTAAAAAAAAAGGGGTTTAACCTTTGAAAAGTATTCACAATTTTGCAAAGTAATTTCTATAAAAAATAAATTACAAATATATTATAAATAAATAAATAAATAAGTATATTATATTATATTATATTATATTATATTATATTATATTGAAAATTTGTTTAAATTTAAGTGATTGGCTCTTAATTACTTGTTTCAACATAAATTATATTAATAATTTTAATAATTTTACAAATTAAGCATATATCAGTATTAATCTATTCATTTGTATTCTGTTCAAAGATATGTTAATCAATTAATATTGAAAAATATTTTTAATTTAAATGTTTGAAACTTAATTATTTGTTGCGACATAAATAAATGTATTTCAAATTTTAAAAATAAATAAATGCATACATTTTACAATATCTAGCGATATATATCAAATTACACATATTAAGTATTTATTTATAAATTAATTTTCTGTGCGAAGAAAATTAAAAAATTTTAATTGAAAAAGGTTTTACACTTAAATGGCTCTTAATAATTTGTTTCGATATAAATATTTATTTATATATATATTTTAGTTATAAGTTTTATAATTTCTTGCGATATATATCGCCATCGGGACGTTTACCAACACCTAAGCACAGCATGTTTCACTCTTGCCGCTAACTAACACTGTGCCATGTGCCGCACAAATTAGTTAATTTTTGTTACATATTTTGGCATTTTCGCGATGGTTTTGCCGCCAGACCGTTTAGAGCACTATAAAACCAGCTTGGAGCAACAGCTAAAGCGTTTGGCATCCAGTTTTCGTAGTTATCAGGCGGCTAAATCAGCTAATATACCGGAATTATTGAATCAAGCGAATCGCTTGTGGGAATTGAGTCAACGATATCGACTGGTGAAAGGGTAAAGAACCCAATTTAAACCAATAAAACCAAGCTAATATATCTTTTCGATATAGTACCAATCAAGCTGCCGCTTTTGGCCTGCTTTCTGTTTGCCAGGATGTTTACCAAAGCCTTCGGGACGGCATGTAAGTGGCTTAATGCAAATCCGTGCCACAAATTTATCTGATTCGATTTCCTTGTTTATTTAAAAGATTAACATTCGATTTTGAGCTAGTGCAAATATCTGTCCAAGTTAACCAGCTCGAGACAGAGTGCCTTACCTTGAATCAAGAGCAAAATCAAACCAAAACGCCTGCAGTCTTAACAGAAGTACGGAATTTCCTAGGGGCATCCCTGGAATTACTGCGAAACCACGTCAAATATATGGAGCTTAATCTTTGCCAACTGCAACCCAAGTTTATGGCTTGTGAAACATCTCTGGAGGCCTTCAAATCTGCTCTGATAATGCCGGAATATGCAGAAGCCCGAATTTCCCTGGGCTTGGCTAAAATCGAGAGACTTAACAATATTCCACTGATTTTGTAGTGGAATCACTAGAAAAACCTAGTTAATTACTGAAACAATGTATCCCTATTTATGGCATGGAAACCATATATGTTATTTAACCATGACCAACTAGAAATAAGCGTGTTTAGTTCGATTTCATAAGAAACTCAGCAAATTTGTTTAAGTTTCAAAGAAAATCTAGTAGTTTAACAGCATTTAAAAAGCAAGAAGTTGATGTTTAAAAAAATAAACAAATCTTCATCTTCAACTACACGATTTGTAAAACATTTATTTTATTTGAAAACTGGTCGATGTTTGTTTAACTGGAAATTCCCATGCATTGAGAGAATGAACTTATGTGAATTTCTATGGAAAATAAGCAATTATTTTGGGACTCTATAAAACTAGCGATCTTCCTCGTGTTTACACATGTTCAAATCGAATTTCTTTACGGAAATCGTTAACAATAGGTCCCAACTCAGTTGCACTCGCATTTAATTCAAAGAAAAACGTATATATTTTTTAAGAAAACTAAAGAAATTGCACAATGCACAAAGAAAATCTTTACATCGATTTAGAGCAGTCCACTCAATGCACATTTTGTCAATTGAATACCAATTAATATGCTTGCTTGCTTTCCAAGAAAGATTTTAGTTGGCAGCAAATCAGTTCGCTTTTCTTGGCCATTTTCACTAGTCACTGAACAAAAACAAAACAAAAAAAAAGGGGTCCCATAATGAAACCAAAACACAGCTTTGATTGGTTTTCTTTTCGTACAAAGGCGCTCCAATGCTCTCGAGATTTATTTAAAACACATTTTGGCTGATTTTCGGGCGAATTAGGTGTGTATTTTCATTTGTTTATAACGAATATGCAGCAGCAGCCGCCTCCGTAGAATTTCTACGCCATTTCCTTCGCTCCACAAAACAGCCGCGTGCAAAAACAGTGTGTGTGTGTAAAAAGATCTGTGGATATAGTAATTTGTTAATAATATATATACATATTAAAGGGTTTAAAGGGTAGTACCTTCTCGAGTGGGTCGCCAATTAGCGCAGCCTCCTGGCTTCGCGTTCAGACTCCAAAAGGGTCAGGATATCGCCCTCGCGAACGGGTCCCTTCACATTGCGGATGATCTGGCGGTTCTGCTCGCCGAGGAACTCCACTTTCACCTGGGTACACTGGCCCTGGGATCCGGTACGGCCCAGTACCTTCATGACGCGTGCCCACACAACTGGTTTGTCCATATTAAGTCGCTAAATTCGCAGAGAATTCACGTGCAAGTTGCGCTTCAATTGACAGCCGCAAGCAAAAAGGAAGTTCAGCGGTTATCGGTGCGGCGACGTGAAGTTGGCTGCGCTTGCAAAAATGCGATAGGTGCGATGGGCAGGGCTGCCAACTATCGATTAGAACGAAGATGGCTATGAAAAAGCTAAATTATTAAGTACCAGCTATTGAACTAATATTAAAGATAATGATTATAATTTCTACCATTTTTACCATAGACTAAACTAAAACTTCATACCCGCTAAAATGAATTTATTTTTTTGTACTTATTATGATATCAGGAGATGGCTATAAACTAGCTATTTTATATAAACAACATAATGATAATTGTTAAAGAATGTACAAATTCGAAATCCTAATTACATTGTTAGATAATGTAATCCCCATCTTATGTTGCTTACTTAAGTCTTTATCTTTAGAGTAAACTAACACTTTAAAATTATATTATTTTTCTGCACCATGTTATTATATAATTAAAAGTTAAAAAAACTTGTTTATTACCTGTGATGCTTAAAAGTGTTGCAATCGAAATACATTGCTGTTCACCTTAAGAATTAATTTCCTGTTTTAAGGTATGAAACCTAATAAAATGTTTGTTTCTATATTAATACTATTAAAACTTCTAGTTGTCATATTTTTTCTTCTTACTATGTCTCTGTTTAATAAATACCAATGTTTCTAATACCTTAAATTGTAAATACCGTATGAACTCGATATGGAAATTGCGGATTTCATTTAAAATAAAATAGCTCATTTAAATGTATGAAGCGAACGTTGTTAAAAAAAAAAACATTTTCACTTCAAAAATATGCCTTTTAAGCTATATATATATATTTTGAATTTGCAAAATAGCTACAAATTTATTATTGAAAAATGCCACATTAAGTAGAATTAGCTAAGTAGGCAGCACACTAACAGTGACATATCGATAGGAGAGTAGTGCTGTTAAACGCCACATTTAGTACTAATAGTGGCTGCAAATGGTCATTGGCTATTACAATCATATAAAAAAATTAATTTTGGCTTACTAATTGTATAAATATTTCTTGTTATTTGTTTTTTAAGTGAATGAATTGCTAATACACGAGCACTGACAGCTGTGGCGTTTTGCAGCACTGCCTCCCCAGTCAGAGTTGCCGAAAAGGCGGAAAAATACAAAAATATTTCAAAAGTTGTTTCAATTAGGTATTTTATGTATGTGATAATGTTTTTGAATTTATTTAATTAGCTGTTTAATTGATGGTTTGGTAAGAGACAAGGTTTTCAAAGGAAAAATTAGCAGCGAAAGATAAACTCTCCGCCCCAATAGCGATGGTCTGGCAACCCTAGACGTGGCACCACGTAGACATTTGACAGTGAAAGTCGTGTCAACTTCGTGTCGCCTTCGTGCCCATTCGGCCCTCTGTTTTCGCCGCTATTCATCGCGTTTTCGTCACTCTTTCATTTTCACTCGATCGCGAAGGTTGTGTGTGCGTGTGCGTTTTTTTTTCCCCCGTTTTTTCCCAGCCGAAATTCCGTGTGTGTGCCGCGTATTTAATTGAAGCTAAAATCAGGCAAGGAAAAACAGCCAACAAGATGAGGCATCTGATGTTCCTAATGCTGATGGTCCTGCCCATCGTCATTTGCACCTTCTCGACGCGTAAGTAGAGTTCCCATTTCCATTCCCATTCCCATTCCCATTCCCATTGGGAAAAGGAACAACAATCGCGTTTCGTCTACGTGGCGCATCCGTATATGCTACGTGGATTATACATTAACCTACTCTAATCAAAGAAAACTCACGTTTATCAACGTATTTCGGCGATTTTCATTCATCTTCAGTGCCAGATTTTCTCGAGCCCATCGAAAAACTGTTGAGTTGGCATGAGACCTATACCTACATATCTCGCCCTCTCGCTCTTACTCGTGATTTTGCGGGTTTTGGATGGGACATATAGCTCGGTTGTCTTTCAAGATCAAGGCTTTAAACTCCGTAGCATAGTGTTTTTAAAGGATTTCCCATAATATAGCCAAATTTCATATTAGTCGGTTAACCATATGCCATACCTGTCTTATAAACTACCTGTTAGAAATGTGATTTATTTGACTGCTTCTTCAATTCAAGGTCCTCAAACTCTACTCTACCAAGTCTTCATCCCAAATTTCACAAAAATCGTATTACTATATGACCTACTTACAACATGAACATCATACCAACATTATAGACTAATTTGCAACTTAAATAAATAGATATGTATAAAATCTGGATTTCAAAGATACATTGAAATACTGTCTTACAGGTTGTTGTTAAAGTTTTTAAGACTTTACAGCCAAGTATATTTTAGTGATTTGAAAGGTGATGATATATTATGAAGCCAAATATTATTTTATTGGAACCAAGATATACCAAAAACCATTTACAAAATCATTGATGATTGAAAAGTAGTTGTTTTACACTTTTGACTTGTTTTTCATCAAAAGTTAGCTATTAATAGGTTGTTTTATCAACCCACTTTATGAGTTCAAGATATTAAATTAAATTAAATATTAAATTTTGTAATATATTCTTGTAAGACAGGAACACAGACCAAAAATTTCATAACCCATTTGAAGTTCTGCTTAATATTTGTGTGCTCCAAAGTAAAAGTCTCATAGAAACTCAAAGTATTTATTAAAATATGTAATTGTATTTGTTATGGAATTAAAGGCACTATTGTTGGCCCATAATCTACTTTTATCTATTCTATCGTTATCTATTTTTTAGAACTATATTTTTAAAAATATTTAATTGTATTTTTTTTGTGGAATTAAAAGCACAATTTTTAGGCTACTACTATTTTGTTTCCAAAGTTTAATAGTCCACTTCTGTCTCTATTTTGCAGCCAACAAGTTCGGTGCCTATGCCGCCGAGGCGGTGGAGGACGACCTGGTGGACGTGGACAGCGAGGAGGGAGCTGTGACTGGCGAGGATGCGGAGGCGGACGAGGACAGCGACACGGGCAGCAGCAGTTCGCCGAATGCGGACACCTATCTGCTCTTCACGAAGCCATTGTACACACCCGGCCAGCAGCTGGATCTGCCCGGCGGCAAGCCCGTGGAGTTCCTCATCGGATTCACGAACAAGGGCGCCGAGGAGTTCGTGATCGAGACGGTGGAGGCCTCGTTCCGCTATCCCATGGACTTCAACTACTTCATCCAGAACTTCTCGGCGGTGGCCTACAACCGGGAGGTGAAGCCGGGCTTCGAGTCGACCGTTTCGTACACCTTCCTGCCATCGGATCAGTTTGCCGGCCGTCCCTTTGGCCTGAACATTGCCCTGGCCTATCGCGATGCCAATGGCATTCAGTACAACGAGGCTGTCTTCAACGAAACGGTGCTGATCTCCGAGGTCGATGAGGGCCTCGACGGCGAGACCTTCTTCCTCTACGTCCTGCTGGCGGGCATTGTGGTTCTGCTTCTGGTCATCGGACAGCAGTACCTGCTGGGCAGCTCCGGCAAGCGCAAGCGTGCCGCCGCCAAGAAAGTGATCGAGACCGGAACGGCCAACGACAGCACCATCGACTACGACTGGGTGCCCCAGGAGACGCTGCGAGCCCTGCGTAAGCATTGCCAGCCAAAGAAGCGGAAGGACTCCGGGCAGAAATAGCACTCAAAACTAAAGAAATGAATAGATTTATAAAGAATTTATGGCTTGGCCTAAATAAGCAAATGTAACTATAAGAATGTTTAGTTTAGAGGCCAGTTCTTTTACTTCAAAGAATGCTGCTAGTCAAATAGTAATTAGGATCGCGCAGTAATAGCACTCAAAACTGCAGAAATCATAACATTTTTAAAGAATTTATGAAATGGCTTAAATAGGCAGATGTAACAATAAGAATGGTTAGTTAATAGGCCATTGTTGTTAATTAAAAAATCCCATTAAGCATTGCAAGCTAAAAAGTTGCAAAAATCGGGCAGTAATCTGCAGAAATCACCAAATTTTTCAATGATTTTTTAAATGGTTTAAATTGGCAGATGAAGTTATAAACCATTTCTGTTATTTGCAAAATAGCTGCTTAAAGGATATATTTATATGTCATAAAAGGGATGGGGTTTCTCAAAGTGCTCTTCTACTTTTCCACTCCGACTGCCTTTAAATATCTTTCGCTCAAACTTACTTATCAATACCCATTTGCCCCATTTACAGAGAAATCTCCGCCCAAGTCGAAGACGCCCAAGACCTCCCCCAAGCCGGGCAAGCAGGCCAGTCCCAAGGCCGCCAGCCAGCAGAGTCCCAAGCAGCGAAAGGTGAAGCGTTCCGCCGGCGATGACTAAAGTCAATCCGCTCAAGACTGCACATATCCCAACAACAACAACAACAACTGCAACAACAACACCAACAACAACAACTGCAACAACAACACCAACGAATGAAATGCAGCAGCCCAAGAAACAACAACAACAACAACAACATCAGCGGCAGCTGGCCAAAGCAGCAACAACAACAAAAAAAAACCATTTTCATCCTATTTTAGGGAGCAGAGCATACAGTTTCGTAATTAATTAGTTATGTTATTATCATGTTCGATCATTTCTAGAGATACTATCATAATTTTTTTTTCGTCTATCGCGAGATTGTTAGTGTTTAACGAAAGGAAAAAAATAACGAAGCAACGTTTCCACAGTTTTGTTTTAGAAATTTGAACTTTGAAATGCCCAACTGCACACATACTCCAACGACAAAAAAAAAGCCAACAAAAAATGAAACCTAAAGAAATTCCTTTGTGAAATTGTCTTCGTTTGTTGAAGACACATTATATAGAAAAGAAGAGCAGCTTAGAGATTGAAAATATCAAGCGAAAATGAAATAAATACCGATTGATTGAGATGTAAGACAGGCGAAAAAAAACAAAAAACCTTCCATTTGTACGATACATTTTAAATTAGTCCTATTATTACAAATCAATTTGTGTTTTATTTTGCGTGTTTGCCCAACCAATTCCGATCTTGATTGTCATTCTTTTTTCTGTTAGGAACGAAAGATGTTGAAGTGAGCTTTTTTTTAGCTAGAGAAGTCGCAGGAAGTCGACCAATAAATAAGGAAAAATTTTCTTACAACAACAACAAAAAAAAAACATAATAAAATTTAAAAAAAAATTAATCTTTGTAGTTCTTATATGGAATGCTCGCCTTTTTTAAGGGTATTTTTCAGAATCTCGATTCAATTTTTCGTCTTTTAGGCTAATAACAATCTATAACCATTATCTGAAAAATTATATTATTTTAACTTATGGAAAAACATTTTAAGTGCAATTGTTTTATACTCAATTTGTGTATTTTTCGCTTCGATGTTCATTAATTTTATTTTAACAAATCAAATCTTTTACTTATTTCATTATGTAAAAAATATTTTGGCAATATTTTGTACTAAGTGTCGCCATCTGGCGGTAGACATTCCAACTTTTATGCTTGATTTTGCACCGGCTAAACTTTTTCTTTGCGCAGCTTTCATCGCTGTTAACCGTTTCAAAATCAACAGTTAGCCAGTTAGCAGCGCTGTTAAGGGCATAACAACTTGTTGTCCTGCCGCTGTTAAGGATTCGGTTCGCCCATTTCAACTCATTCGTCAACAGACTCTCGTGCGGTTCGGTTCTCAGCCTCAGCCTCTGAATTCTGCAACTCAAATCACTGGTCACTGGTCATTGGTCACTGGTCACTGGTCACAGTTCACAGTCGCACTGCTTTTTCCGGTTTTCGAAACAATTTTCGAAAGTGTTGAACAAATTTTTTTTTGTTTTTGTGCTAAGCTAAGAAATTGAAATTGAAATTAAATTAGAGCTTTGGCCACAACCGTTTTGAATAGGGTTTTTCCAATTCAAGTAACGACCGAGCCGAAGTGAAAGTGTGTGTGGCAAATATTTGAATCCCATTTGCGTTCCGAATCGGCGAAGGATTAAGCGGAGCAAGCTTGAAAAAAAAGAAAGAGCAAAGACCGCAGTCAAAGGTGAGTGGAGTGTTTGACAAATGTAAATATGGCGAATTTCATCGTGGAAAAGGGCATTTTTCCACCCGAAAACCAAAGGACATAAATCAGGCCGTCTTCTTACCAAAACTTATGATTGAAAAATAAATAAATATACAAATTTTTAAGCCAACTCTAACCCCAATTAAATTACAATCTTTGAATCAATGTTTAAATACATAAATATCTTAATATCAATTAGTATTTGTTGACCTTAAGACACATAAGTATTTTTATGTATTACTATTTAAAATTGCAAAGGCATAACAGTTATGTTTTGGGACTTTTTGGAATTTTTTTAAATTGGTATATAAGCAAATATACAAATTTTGAGGCCAACTCTTCATCCTTAGTTACTATGTATATAACTATTTTAACTTTAAAATGCCTAGCAAATATGTTTTCAAATTTGTTTGTCATTTTTTGTAAGTAAACTAAAAATCAAGATTAAACAATTTTTGTTTAATTCCTCAAAATGCCAAAGAAAATCTAAATATTATTGTTAAACGAGTGTAGCATTTTAAACTCCTTTTATATACCTGTATACCTGAGCAATTATAACTTTTCGGTGGGAAAATCTTAAAAGAAATATTTGAAATATCTTTGGCATAATGTAAGCAATGAATTCATGAATGTCCTATTAGGTGCGTGCACATGTTTGCTTATTTAGCCCAGCATTTGTTTGTCTGTCAACAGAATGGCTGAGACGAGTTTGGTTTGGTTTGGTTTGGTTTTCAGCCAACTTTCCAGGGGGAAGAAATTGAAGTGAATTAATTACCTCTTCGGGCTTGAATTCGTAATTAATTCGTTCTTGTTTTTGTTCCTGCCCGTCGTGTGGCTCCTTCTTATTCGACTTATAAATCATGTTGGATGAGCGGTGGAATTAGAGGAGCGACGGGAAAGGTGAGTTCCTTTGGCGGTACGGTATACACCAATTTGAAATGCAAAGGCATTTTAAAGTCGTCGCAAATCTGTGGGAAAGGAGATAATTCTGACGCAAAATAAAGTGTCACAAAATTCCCATCTTGTTCTCACAATTATTGCTAAAAATCAAAGTGTTCCACAAAACTTTGGAATTGGAATTTTGTTTTGCCATAATTGGAAAATGCGACCAAACAGGTTCTTAAACCATTGCATTTTATGCACCTTCAGCAATAAAAGTAAAAAAAATAGTTTTTGACATTTGTTGGAAACAATTGAATTGTTCTGAGTTTTAATAACAAAACTTTTAAATCGATTAAACTGTTTCTTAAATTAAATTTAAAAGAGTATGTACATTAATAATAATATTTAGTTTTTTTATTTTAAACCCTTAGTTTTAAAGGTACATGTTTGGTTTTTGAATATATATTAATTTAAAGCCAGTTTTTAAAGCTCTTTTGAAAACCAAATCTTAAAAAAAATTGTTGTAATCATTTAAGATAATTAAAGGAATTTCAGTAACCAAGTTTTCCCGTTTTTGGCTCAATTGTTTTCCGTCATTTCGGGATTTGGCTAAGGAGCTGCTGTCATTTGTGTATTTATTTTGGTTTTGCCACTGTTTTCGTTTTCTTTTTTTCGGGAAGGTGGGTGGTGGGTGCCAAATAATTTTCAAGCAATTTTACTTAATTGCCTTTTGCAGATAATAAATCATTTTCTTTGCAATTTGCGCCGACATCAAAAACCCGCACTTAAGTGAAGGTCTCCGCAGAATTCAGCCACCTAACATTTTTGTTGGCCTTCAAGCTGGCCACCCTTTTTATCCACACTTTCACCCCCTTTCATCCCCCCTTTTATCCCCATTTCACCCGCATTTCACCCACTTTCGCTCGCTGCTCAATCAGAACTTAAGATGGCCTTAGTTTAGGTTGCTCCTTTTTTGTGTGACGCTATCTGCTTTTTGCTAATTAACTTGGCTTGTTGCCTGTTGCCACAAATACAAATACAAATACAAATATAGACAAAGACATATCCACAGCCCACACACACACACACATATACTTACACAAACACAGGCAAAGAAAGAAAGTGTGTCTCGCACACATAGAAAAAGTTGAATAAGCTACGTTTTGAATTTCTTTGGAATTCGAAAATCTCATTAAAATGTTCGCCAAGTTCTTGAGGAAATGAAGAAAATCGAGCGGGGAAAACTGAAAACCCTTTCGACCACGCCCTCAAAAGGTGTGTTCTGGGCCAAAAATTGATTGAAGTTGACATTTTATTGTTTTCTTGACTTTATTTACTCCATACTCTGTGCAAATACCTCAGTAAAAAAAAGGAAACAAAAAGAAATACAATCTATTTACTTTTGCGTTGCCTTGTGAATTACTTTTGGGTAATTTGCATAATGATATGTGAAATTGATCGATTAAAGTACAGCAAAAATTGCAAAATAAAAAAGTTGGGAAAAAGAAAGTACCCAAAAGCGAATGAATACTGGTTAGCGACGACAAGCCAGTGAGAAAGAAAAATCGATTTATGAAAGGCAAGGAACACTTAAAGTCAACGGAAAATTCGGAAAGAATAGGAAATTGAAAAATGACAAGAACAAGAAAAAAAGAAAAAAATGGGAATAATTATGCGCCAAGGGGGAAATTGGAAAACACCAAAAAAAAAACTGCAATGGAACTGTTGTTGCATAAAAACCACAAAGTCAAAGTAAATTGACCTGAGGAAAGAAATTGCAGTATTATAAATATTGAAGGCTATATATTAGAGTATAAAAACTAATTTTAAAAAAATAATAATATAACATTTGTTTTTTAAATTGTATTTTTGATTATGTTAATATATAATAAAAGAGAACCTAAAAAGCATTAAATATAAATATGAAGACTATTTATTAGAAATTAAAAACTAATAAGAAGTAATAGTTTTTTTTTTATTTGTATTTTTGATCAAATTTATTTATAGTAAAGCAGCTTTAGTGTAAATTGTGTATATTATTTAACTTAAAATAGCTAAAAAAATGAGAACTCAAAAACCATTAAATACAATGTCAATGTTAAATTTCACCCGACCTATCAGAAAGCCCTGATTTTACCATTATGTACCGCACTGTAGCCGAATTGAAATATGAAATTATAATTGCATTTGCATACTGGGCGGACTAACACAAAGGATTTCCAAAAATACTCGCAGACAAAAGTCCCCCAGATGAGTCGAGACTCCCTTAGCCCCCTAACCCCCCCAACTCTCACCTTTGACCCCCCATTCCGAAGCTCTACAAACATGTGCGATGACAACATTCTCCACACCCGAAACAAGAATGTAAAATGATAATTAAATAACAACTAACAGGCGAAATGTGCGGGCTGGACAAGAAAAATGGCTCGGGAAACTCTGCCAAAACGAGGTGTGAGCCGAGGGTTAAGGGCTGAGCTTGTAATTCACTTGACTGACCAACTAAAGTTTCTCCTACCAAACATTTTGACCAGCAGTTGTCAACGATATGGGCGGGGAAAAGCTGTGGCTAAATCTATTATTCGGGGGTGCCACAGAAAACGCAAGGGTTTTCAAAATTACCTAAAATGTGTCTAAAAGTATAGGTACGTTGTCTCTCATATAAATTGCATATTGCATACTTGCCACTTTATTTATCATTTTAGAAAGTTAGAAACCAATGTTGTTTTTTTTTAAATAGTTTTTTTTTTTTTGTAAAATTATATCTTAATTCAAATCTGAAAGGTAAAATTCTATAGATTTTAAAATATCTAGAATTTTATAAACTTTATTATGAAAAAAAATTTAAAAGTTTATGTATGGTTTATTAAAAGATTTTTTTTTTGTATTACTATATTTTTTTTAATTTATAAAGGCTTTTCTTCAGTTTATTTTAAAGTCTCTAGAAATGTTTCTTTATAGTTAAAAACAAATTTAAATCCAATTTGTGTTTAATAAAAGTATTTTTTTTTTTGTGAAAACATAATTGCGCTATTTTCAAAGGCTCTTTTTAAGACTCTAATAATAATAAACAAGGCAATAAGGCAATTAAAAGGCATAATTTCCAAAAATTATTATTATTATAAATTATTTTCCTTGATTTTATATGTACAACAAGAATATTTTATACATTTTTAACAGGCGTTGCATGGTACTGATATTGTTTCACATACTTTCAACTGTGCCAAATCGGGTAATGAGGGGTTAAGAGTGGGGCAATGGGGTGTTAAGCAGGGGATGGGAAGGAGGAGGTTTTTAGAAAGACCTACAAGTAAAGTGGAGTAAGGCAGCGTAAAGTTAAGCAGAGACGACAACTTTTTTGTGCATGATAACGACAACAGCACAACACTAATGGCCATGTATGTATTTGCACGACTTTTACACATGTGCCTGTCTATGTGGCTTTCTCCCCGTTCATCTTTGTGTGTCTATGTGTGTGTTTGGCTTTCTCCCCGGTGCACATGTGTGTGACAGGCGGCTGTCATTTGTAATGCGCCAAGCAACAAGAAAAAAATGAAAGAAAGGGGGCCAAAAGGGAAAGGAGTGGCAAAGAAAAACGAGGAGGAAACTATTTCCCGACATTTGGATTCCTCGCGAGCGGAAAACAGAGAAAACCCCTAATGATACAAATACGTAGAACAACTAAAAATAGTTCACAACAATTAGGTGTTAAGCAACCGAAAGGATAACCAAAGGCATCCAAGCATTAAACAACTTTTGACAGTTTAAACAAATTGCATGGGACTCTTGTCTTTCTATTCGTTTATAATTGACTAGTGCAGGGATTAGTTCTTGTTGCATTTTATATACATTACCATTATTGTAATTGTTTATTACTTTGTCTATGTTTAAGACAATAAACAATGATTGTTATCTTTTTGTAAAAAGTTTTTTTTGTATGAATAAAATGAAAAAGCAGCGCTGTAATCGAAATTTCAAAAGAAACAAAGGTGTAAGCTTGATTTTTAAAATTATTTTGTATACATTTTTTTGCAATAATGTTTTTTTTTCAATAAAAACTTTTATTTTTGGTAGCAATTCACCAAAAGACACATTGTAGG